GCAGTAAACATGGGTGTGCATATATCTACTTGAGTGACAGTTATGATTTCTTTAGGGTATATTCCCAGTATTGGAATTGCTGTGTCAAATGGTATTTCTATTTCCAACATACTGCTTTCCATAGACACTTCACCAAAGAAAACATGCAGATGGTGACCATTTGCTTTGTAGAAGATATTTTCCCCCGAAATATTTTCAATCTACAGTTGGTTAAATCTGTAGACATAGAACTTATAAATATGATAAGCTGACTGTACTTCTGTATTTTATTTTTTCATCCTACAAATTAGACCCTCACTTATTATTAAGTTTTGAAGATTATATTTGTTTAAATTTATTTGATGTTTTAAAACATTGTTTATTCATTGTACTTGGCTTTCATATCAGACTTTTTGAGCTAATTATCCTTTCTTAAAATATATCCTTTGTATTTTCCCTTATCACAAATTTCTTTATGCAAGTGTTCTGTGCTGTATTATCTCCAGAAGTATTTATTTTATAATTTTCACATTTGTCTGGGTGCATAATTGTAGATTGACTATTATTTTGACTCTCTACTTTCATGGTTAACATCTTACCATCCTTTTTGACTGTCATTGTTGCTATTAAAACAGCTATTATTTAAATAGTTTCCTCTTTGTGGATGATTTGCCTTTTTTTGGTCTGCATTTAAGATCATGTTTTTGTATTTGTTGTTCTTCAGTTTCATTGTAGTATGTTTAGACATGAATTTCTTTTTATTTGTCCTACTATAGTGTGTTTCTTGTATTGATTCATCAAGACTGGCTTTGTCTATCAGTTTTAGAAAATCCACCTTATTATTATTTTTTTTTATTCACCTTTTAAAAAACACATTGCTTTTCCCTGTTTCATTTTTATCTTCCAAGGATTATAGTTAGATTTATGTTTAGCTTTCTCATTTTATTCTTTGTGCCTCTTCATATATTTTTCATAATCTCCAACACTATCATTATGTTACAAATCATTTGTTGCTAAAATTCCCCTATGGATACTTACCAAAGTCATTGTTATTACTATTTTCTTATTACTGTTATTATTTCAGTTCTCGTTGGCTTACTAAATAATCTTTTTCATTTAATCTTTATATACTTTTACTTAACTTGGACATTCAAGTTATCATAATAATTTCTTAAATGCTAATTGAGGTCTGTCATTCATCAAAACAAGACAGATATTTTTCATTTGATCCCCAAGACTCTGTGTAGCTTTCTCCTTAGCAGAACTTACAGCATCATCGCTTTCTGTGCTCATTTTGCTACCTTGAATATGCTAAGTTTCCCCTATCTCAGTGCTTTGAAAACATCCTTGATGCTTTATAAGAGATCTTTCTATTCCTCCACTAGCCCTTACATCCATGAACTATTCTTTAGTGCTTGATTAAGTGATAGTCCCCTTCCTCAAGCACCTGGTAGAATGGTATATATCCTTTGTATTACTTATTAAGGGTTATCATTGCCATATATATGCCTTCCTGACAGAAATAAAAATAGATCTGATTTTTTCAAAATCATCTTATCACATAATTTCTGTTTAGTGAATGAATGAGAGATTCATAATAACAATAAAGATTTTTGATAGTCTATATCAACATTTTTATT